CAGCCCCGACCCCAGCCTCCCCGTTTAAACACACAGGGCGTCTCGCTTTAAGCAGCCCACACTAAATGTGAGCTTCACCGATCCCCAGAGATATAAAAAAAAAAAAAACAGATAACAGAAGACACAAAAGGTCACGTTTGACGTGTTTCATAACTCTCAAAATAAGTATATTATATAATACATGATATTATATGATACAGTAAATATATATTACATATATATATTTTAATTTTAAGATGAGGATTTGGTGATCTCTCAGTGTTTTTGGGAACAAAAAAGGTGATCGGAACCAGAATGTTTGACAGATGTGGAGATCAAGACAAATATTGGGGAAAAAGTCACATATATAACATACAGTGGGGGAAATAAGTATTTGACCCCTTGCTGGTTTTGCAGGTTTGCCCACTTACAAAGAATGCAACAATCTATAACTTTAATTATATGTACATTCTAACAGTGAAAGACAGAATCCCAAAGAAAATTCCCGAAAATCACATCATATGAATTAATAAAAATTGATAACCATCTGATGAAGAAAAATAAGCATTCTTATTTCCCCCACTGTATATGCCTGTATACATATGTATATGTATATATATATATATATCTTGGGAAATGTTTCAGATGTTTTTCCGTGAAAAAACAATGACAAAATGATTCAGGTTTTACAATATGTCTTAATCTTTAATAGCCAGGTGTGTCTGAAACTGGAACTGTTTGTAAACCAGATGAACGAGGACTGATTATCATCAGGCGTCGGATGCTAAAGAGAGGGTGGAGGAAAAATGTAAAAAATTAAAATACCTGCGTTCAGAACAGAATGTGCGTGTGCGAGGAACGTGAACAATGAAGTCATCAACATACGTGTGTCATGTTTTCTCTGCATTGGTGGACACGTGACGGCACAAATTCTTCTTCAAATAAAGACTTTTACCTTCGCTTTCAGTTCCAGGGGAGACAGGGGAGCACCCAGCTCACCTCTCACATCTTATTCATGTTTGTAGCATTGTTGCAGATTGTGAAGAGTGTTAAAATAGTGTTAAAATAGTGTTAAAATAGTAGGAAGGGCTTGTTAACCTGTAGATGTTTGAGTCCTGCTGCTGTATGGGGGGTTATTCTGGTCTCTTACTGCATGTTGGAGCCATTCCAGCTGCCATCAGTCGGTGAGAAAACGCTGTTACATCCTCAGGCCTATTTTATCATCCTGGGATCTCACATTTCCCATGATGATCAAGGAAAGAAATGGCTAAATCTT